TATGGGCTTAATTCAATAACGGTATAAATAGTATTTTAAAAATCCCAATTGGCTCAAAATATCTCACATAAGATTTGTTTCTTTATTTCATATTTTTTGCAATACTAGATTTACATTCCAATTAAGAAGTTGTGCATATTAATGCAAATCAAAAATCATAAACCTTCGACTAAAACTAATTCATTGCATCTTTAAATTTAAATTAATTTGAATGTGCTCTCTCAACTTACAAGCGTTATTCATTTTTAGTTCAGTACATTCAGTATGCTTTTTTTTCAAGAGATTTATTTTAGATTTTTAAAACACATTTTCACCGTGCACGTACACAAAAATTCGTTTTTATTTTCCTTTCTTCTCAGAGTTTTTTATTTAACAGCAAATTTGCGCAACGCGTTGAAACGTGGGCGTGTCACCGCCCCCCGCCGAAAACGCGTTTATCAAAGTCAGTTCCCGAGGGTGGATTCACCGCTAAGGATAGGGGAGGGGGCGGAGGTGGAGGCGGGGCGTGGCAGGTCCTGGCATCGTTACCGTTAGACTGCGGCTCCTGCTGTCGCTCCTAATGTGATACGCATCAATTTATGAAATTTGAAATATTATGACTGATTTTGCGCGTCTCAAATGCGGCTTTTATGTGGGTTCGGATTCAGGTTCGGGCTCGGCTTGGGTCCTAATCTGGCCAACAGGTCAGGATGTGTGACACAGAGGGGTTGTCTGCAGGACGACCAGCTTAGATGGAAATACTCACAGCCCGAACATCACTATCCCATCTCCCTGGGTAAATTGAAGTAGCTGCGACAATAACAAAGGGCCGGCAATGAAGCGACGTTTCTATTTTTATGACAACGCCAAACAAAAGCGGCGATTAAAAGGACGAGGGACGGAGATCTGATCGGGCAGGGTTGATTGACTGGACGGCAAAACCAGATCAGATGGAATTAATATATTTTTTATTCATATATATATTTACTTACAAACATGTATTTTTATTAAATAATTCGCAGGAATCTGCTTGGTGAAGAAGATAGTTTGTTTGTTTGTCTAAATAAACGTCGAGCTGCAATTGACTTGAACAATTTAGTAATACGCAGTTACAAAAATAAAAGGGGTTTTGCAGGACACTAACATAAATTATTAGATTGCTACAACTTTTTAAACACTTGCAGAGGGTATCATCATTTTGTTCAGTTTTACCAGGAGACTCGAAATCCTTCTGCCCGTTTGATTGTTTCAAAGCAATTTACTTGCCCAAATTTAAAGCTTGGGATTTCAAACTTTTGCAATCGTCCTATTTTATTGGAAATAATTAGTAATAATTAATTTAAATAAATTATAGCTTCGTTCTTTATAGAACACGCCAAACAGTGTCTTTTTAAAGTCATTAATCCAAATGCGAAAATTCTATATTATTTTCATGTGAAAATTCGATCCATCGGCTGGAATTTACGACCACTTACCCGAAATCGTGTTTAAAACAAAATGGCAAACCCTTATTTGTATAATAAAGTTATGTTCTGTGCCATAACTTTAAAGCCTATTTTATTTATTCTTGAAGCCCACATGCCAAAAAACCCAACTAACTGCAACAGAAACAAGAAAGGAAAGTTAACTTCGGGCGGAGCCGAAGTTGAAATACCCTTGCAGAATATTCTGTGAATTATATTCTCCAAAATTATTCATATGATGCATTCTTAACACTCATAAAAATCCCAACTTCCTAACTTTAAAAACACCAAAGTTATGGCATTTCCAATCGTTCAGTTATATGGCAGCTATAGGATATAGTCGGCCGATCCTTATGAAATTTGATAGGTCGGATTGATTGGCCAAAAATAAAACCCATAGAAAATCCTTCCTAACTTAACAAACACCAAAGTTATGGCATTTCCGATAAATCAGTTATTTGGCAGCTATTGGATATAGTCGGCCGATCCTTATGAAATTTGGTAGGTCGGATTGATTGGCCAAATATAAAACCCATAGGAAATCCCAGTTTCCTAACTTTACAAACACCAAAGTTATGGCATTTCCGATCGTTCAGTTATATGGCAGCTATAGGATATAGTCGGCCGATCCCAGCCGTTCCGATTTATATACTGCGTGCAAAGGAAAGAAGGGTGTGTGCAAAGTTTCAATTCGATATCTTTAAAACTGAGAGACTAGTTCGCGTAGAAACAGACAGACGGACAGACGGACATGCTTATATCAACTCAGGAGGTGATCCTGATCAAGAATATATATACTTTATAGGGTCGGAGATGTCTCCTTCACTGCGTTGCACACTTTTGACCAAAATGATAATACCCTCTGTTATAAAAAGACTTTTGGGAATGTTTAGCAAATTAGCAAAATTTAACGTTTTTTTTTTGGGATAGCGTGTAATTTCCATTTAATAATTACAAATTTGAAGAACCGAAAAAACAATTTTCTCTCAAAATAACCGTTTTATATTTCCTTCTAATAAAGTTAGAAACTCTGCAAATCAGGTAAAAAACGAATTATTTTTTCAAAATCGTGTTTCTGGAACACCGTAAGATTAACTTCGGCCAGCCGAAATTGTAATACCCTTGCAAACATTTAAAAATAGAAAAAAACGGATAGTTTCACAGCCTTTAACAATTATTCATATAGAAGCTATAAGATATAGACGTCCGATCGGCAAGCACTTTTACCCTTATCAATGTATGCGTAAATAAGTAAGACTAGGAAAAATTGATGTCAATAGCTGTCAATGTCAAATTTGAACCGATTACACCCTATTATTCCTATGAAAGCTACTGGATATAGACGTCTGATCGGTACGATCATTTACTCTGATCAAGGTATGCATAAAAAAATAAGATTTGGAAAGATATATGTCAATAGCTTATATACTGCTCGATATATCCTGAAAAGTATTAAATTGTTTCTATGGGACCTATAGGATATAGACGTCTGATCGGCACGCGCTTTTACTCTGATTAAGGTATGCATAAAAAATTCGATTTGGAAAGATTCGTGTCAATAGCTTATGTATATACTGAGTGAAATATCTTCCATTCTGGCAAGTTTTATTGTTCCTATGGGAGCTATAGGATATAGACAGCAGATCGGGGCGGTTTTCAAACTTAATCTTTGAAGCTGAGTTCGCAAACGGTATTGAAACAGACGGACAGACGGACGGACAGACGCACAGACGGACATGGCTATATCGACTCTCCTATTGATCCTGATCAAGAATATATATACTTTATGGGGTCGGAAATGTCTTCTTCACTGCTTTACAAACTTCTGAAATACCTGCCGTGATCTCTTAACCGTTTTAGGCCGTCTAGGTGTTTAAAGATCCCGCTTGGCCGGCACGTTAAACCCAAAGGTGGTCACACTGCCTGGACCTGAAAGTTGCGCCCCGCTCCCCCACGTCCACCACAGAAATGAGCAGGAAACGCTCCTCACGACCGAAATCATATCCTCAAGACTGCCAGCGTTGCCCCCTCAAGATCCACCCCATCCCGGCGTTGCCAGCCTCCCCATCCCGGCGCTGCCATTTCACTGCTATGTAAGTATAATTGTGCGACACCTAGCGGATTTTCCAAGTATTAGCGACTCTTACATGAATTATCTACAGTGTTGTATTTACCAGCTTTTGTCATTCAACATTTTATCTCAGTCGTTATTTATTTTGAATAAATTACAATCGCAGATGATAAACAAAAATACTAATTGATACTAAGGCATACCAGTTTCAAACATGTTATGGTCTGCCAAAAATAAAGAAAATAAACCTATATAAAATCAAAACATACCAAACGACCGCGTACCTGGGTTAGAGAGGAGCAACAGATGCCGATACTAGGGATGGCCTGGGAATGGAGAACTGGTTCCGGAGTCGTGCTGGTTCGTGGCGGAACTAGTAGAATAGTGGGCTCAAGATAGTTTTAAATTTCGGAAAACTCTCTCTCGAGAAGCAATTGAGCCGACTTACAAGAAGGGCAACTAAAGGGCAAATCAGAACCATCTAGAAGCTGAGAAAAAGTAGTCGTGTCTCTGGGAACAAAATTCCAAAGTGAGAGTGCAAGTTTTAGATAAAAAAAATATAAATTAAAGTGCTTTTGTGTTCGCAGCTTCCGGCGCCAAATTCGAAATCTGGGAGTCTGCGAGGAAAGGAATTAAACTGGGAGAAAACTATTGGAAATTCGATTATCACCGCCCACATCTGGGTGGTGCCAGGTTTTTTTATTTTAAGTTTAGTTTTAAAGTTAATAAAACCACAAAATAATCCACAATAACCACCCACTACAAACTACAAATCTACTTCTACATAAATTAAAATACTCATGTAACCCTATATATATATTATTTATTCATTTATTTATACTTATAACTATTTATTCATGTGTGATGTAATCGTCCCTGTGGTACCCAGGTTAGGAAATTGTGAAGTTAAATGAATGTTATTTATAAGCATTTTGTGAATTAAAGTGGAAAAGAAAATGAGCGAGTAGAGTGTTAACAATGGGGTGAGGTGACGCATAACAGACCCAGTAGCCAGTATCAGGGAGTTGCTTAAAAGATGCAGCGGCTCAAGGAAGGGGGGGTATATTCCGCGGCCATCAACAGCAGGTCCGCAGTCCTTGTTTCCTTTCGTTTTTGAAGTTGTCATCAAGTCTGAAGAAAATAAATTATTACTGTGTGCCGACAAATCCAACTATCGCGGTCATACTCACGCTTGAGAAATCCGATTGCTAGCCGGAATCCGATGGTTGGATCACCGAAAATAAGTCGAGACATAACAAACAAAATAAAAAAATGTTATTAACTATTTTGAAGCAGTGAAATAAGGAATATTTTTTTGCATTTAAAGGTAAACATCAGCAAAAAATATTGTTCTGAGCTCAAATGAAACCGCCAATGTACTGTCATAACCTGTTTAGCTATTCAACTGCATTGGGAATCAAAATTATGATTCTTGGTATATTCTCCGCGTAAAGCTGGATTTTTGCTGAGCTGCGGTCACACTATTTCCAAACAGCTGTTGCCGCTGACTAATAACTTCGTTAAACAAAACTTCTAAACAATATTTAACTATATTTAAAGGCAATGCACGGCCGCGTGAAAGTAAGGACTACCGAGGAGGAGCGTGAGCGGAAGAAGAAGGAGCAGGCCCTGAAAGTCCGGGCCTATCGGGCCGCCATGGGAAGGATCCAAAAGAAACGCGAAGCGGGGGAGTTGGACAACGAAATGCTCACCCTGACGGTTCAGATTCTGCAGCGAAATCCGGATGTGAGTACGCTGTGGAACATTCGTAGGGAGTGCGTTCTGGAGAAGCTGTCCAAACTGAAGGATGAGGAGGAACGATCCCAGCAGGAAGTGGAGGAGAAACCCACTGAAGAAGGGCCACTGGAGGATGAACCCCAAGAAAAGGAGCCCCTCGCCGATGACAAGGCCCATTCCATATTCACCTGCGAACTAGACCTCACGGAGCAGTGCCTGATGGTCAATCCCAAGTCCTACAACGCCTGGCACCATCGCTGCTGGACCCTAGAGCAGAATCCCCGGGCGGATTGGCAGCGGGAGCTGCAGCTGTGTAACAAATACCTCAAGTTCGACGAGCGCAACTTCCACACCTGGGACTACAGGCGCTATGTGACCGAAAAGGCCTCGGTGCCCGCGGCCCAGGAACTGGACTTTTGCACCGAGAAGATCAAGGTCAACTTCTCCAACTACTCCAGTTGGCACCATCGGAGTCTGCTGCTCCCAGAACTCTATCCAAACGAGCAGAAAACCCGGCCCATGAGTGAGGAGAAACTGCAGCAGGAACTGGAGATGGTTCTGACGGCTGCCTTCACGGATCCCAACGACAGCAGTGCTTGGTTCTATCAGCGATGGTTACTGGGCAGTGGCGCCCAGCTGGACCGGGCTCCCAGGATAGCTGCCTTTCGACTGGAGTCCCACGGAGCAGTCCTCGCTCTAGATAAACCCTACCCAGATCTTAAGCAACTCAAAACTGAACTGGTCGGTGGAGAGCAAAAGGTTCTATTACAATCCTGGCTGCCAGTGGACTGCTCTGGAACCAGTTGGAAATGCCAGCAAACATTCGATTACCAAAGAAACACTACCTACACCCTTAAACTTTCCGAACAGGAGGTGAATCTCTTACCACTTCCTGGTAACGAAGATGGAGCATTTTACTTTGCGCCACCACATGCTGTTGCCAGTTGCAGCAAGGAACTCCTGGCAGAACTGCAAACGCAGCTGCAATCCTGCCTAGAACTGCTGGAATTCGAGCCCGATAGCAAGTGGACTTTACTAACCAGTGCCCTCCTAATGCGTGCCATCGATGCTTCAGCCAATCACCAAAAAAGTTTAGAACACTTGGCCAAACTGGAGAAGGTGGATGCTTTAAGGGAGGGATACTACAAAGATCTTGCAGCCAGATGGACTTTGGAGTTGGAGCTCGCCAAGTGGCCTCAAGCTGATGGATTTCCCAGGGACTTTGCGTTGCCGCAGGATGTTATCCTGGCATCGCTGCCTTATAAACAATACTTTATCATTGCCGATGAGTTGAAATTGTCCTCAAAACTCAAGGAGACACTGGGCGATTTAGTGCCGAAAACCTTTAAAAACTTAAAGGTGCAGAATGATTTGTAGACTACACTAAGCGGGCTTTGAGGTTTCATTTGAATGGGTTTCCATTTGCTAAACTTTATTTCCCGGTCGATCCTTGGTGAGCCTTTTACAGGATTGGGTATCCTGAGAAAAATTTTGAATTATACAACAAATTAATAAATTAGCAAATATTCCTATTTATACATACATTGATTTGTATGGACAGACAAGTTTTGTATATACATAAAATAACCATTATTACGCTTTATGAAATATATCAAAATATACAAATGAAAAATATTCCCAAAAAAAATATTATTTCCAAGTTTTCATACATATAAAATCAAAACTAGTGTGCATACGCTTTTAAGACACACATACAATTTAATTGCATCTGTCGCTGTCAGCCCATGTTATAAATGGGAAAACCATCAATACGTCGACATGCAACCACTGGCTACTTTAAGCGGTCCCTGAATCTGCCACATAGCCGAGGCATTCTTTGACATGGCTGCTGTGCAGCGGTGTTGCTGTTGCCACCGATGTCGCCTTCTGTGTGCAACGAGGCGCTGCGAGATTTGCGGTTTTTTGGTGGCTCTCGTGGTTATATAAATTATGCAAGACCCTGGAGATGGAGATGCTCAGCGACGGTATGACGTCGGCGACGCGAGGAGCTCAGCGCGCGTCCACAACATTGGCAGCCGCATGTCATTACGTGCTGCATCTGCACAAAAGCAACTCACTAAGAAAAAAGTTTTCGGGCAGTTTGAAATCGTGAATAATCATTTACTTTATAAAATCTCCCAGATCATGACTTTCCAAAACCCTATAACTATTATTCGATGCACAAAGAAAGACAGTACCGAAAAATTTTATCAGTGGCAGCATAAATATATTAGTAAATTCAAGTAGATATTTGGGCAGTAGGTTCTTAAGAGGTTTGTCGGAGAAAAAGCTGAAATAGGTACTAAAATATGTATTTTTTTATGTATTAAAAGATTGAAGAATTCCAGTGTGACTTTGAGATAAGTGTCAGTAAAAATTGGTTTAATTAGCTTTAAAACATGAACATAAAATTAACCTTACCTAGGTATTATTTATTATTTTACGAAATTACCTGCGACTTTGAAATCAGGACTATCAGCCGAAGCAAAAAAAAAATTGCACACTAGCTTTTGGTTGCTATAATACTATAATACTTTATCAGTGGCAGTGTCATCAGATATGGCAGTGTTAAAACTTTCGTTATTGTGATGTGCGTTTATATAAATATAGTTTACCTGCTTTATGTTAGATAAAATTTTTTCGCCTAAAAAAAGTTCATAATAGTTTTGTTAGGTGCACCGAGCAGAAGCAGGAGGTGGAGTGGCCGGTGGAAGGACATCCAAGACGGAGTAGCGTTTGACAGGCGTGTGAAAGGCCGCCAGACGTGCCTGGGGCGGTGCTCCTACGAAATGTCATTCCCACTTGGGTGTTAATACACGGCTGCAGCCCCTGGAGCGGTGAGGGGGGGGAAACGTTGGTGCAGCTGTCACCTGGCAGGCCACACTGGCACACATGTCGTATGCGCAATGTTTGTGCATGGGAATTTAATGGAGCCGGGATGATACATCCTGCTGCATATCATATTAACATTAGCAAACGCCTTGGCATTCAAATTTCCGCCTCACTCAGCTGGCACCACCTCCGATGCTATTCCCCCTCTGCTGCACCCGAATGGCAGCATAATCTTAATTATGCCAATGCCATTTCTTGCAAATATTTTGCGTCGACTCTCGGGCTCCGTTCCGGAAAACGTGACTCTGACAAGAAGCCGCTCATTAAAATGTTTGGGCCAATTATTAAGTCAATTGCACAGCCCAAAGGGACGAGGACGTAGAGGGGGTTGTAGCTGCTACTGCAACTGCATCTTATCTGAACGCACAGAGTCGCAAACTTAATTAATGCGACAAGTCAATGAGAAAGGTCAGGAAACAAGGAGGCGGAAAAGCGGGGAGCGATAGATGAACGTCAAGATGCAATCGCAGGGGTGTCCTAATTTATGGTTTGCTGTTAAATACCGGATTCTTGTGTGGCACAAGTTCCTTATTTAGTTTCTTAAATTTATAATTGTATATAAGTTTCACTTTGTCGCGGTTACCTAACAAAAATGAGGAGAGGGAGTTAATTCCTTCACATTTTGTCAAATGTTGAGTAATGTAATTAATTAAAATGATAAACGATTTGATTATGATAAGCTTAGGTTACGGTGAAGTGCTAAATAAACAACAGATATATTGACAGCAAATAAAGTTTCAAATTTAGTTTCATTAGTTTTTTTTACCCAACTCAATTTCATGTTTTGTTCATTTTTGTAGGCAATTGTGCTGTAAATGGTTTATAAAGAAATTTTCCTAAATCTATTTATGACTGTTTTGCCTTTGTGTTTGCTAAATTGCTTCTACACACACTTTTATATACAGTCAAAGGGAAATTATTACACTATTAATTTACCCCTAAAAACAGAAGATGATTCCGATCTAAAAGTAGACTTTTTGCCATTAAATAAATAATATATTGTTGAGAGCACAGGATCCCTTTATGTTACTGCAGTTAATTTTCAGCAGAAATTGCATTTTGCAGCCAAAGATTGGAAATCAAAGTCCGGCACTTGTTACACATATTATTTGTGCTACCACCAGGGTATTTCAGGCCTCGAAGCCCCTTAATAGCAAGCTTTCACTCAACTGAAATTGACTTGAAATTTGTATTTGTTTACCGAATTTCGGTCTTTGCCCTACGTAACCAAATTTGGCAAACTTTGCCACATATCTTCGAGGAAGTCATGTGAGTCGCTCCTCCTTCCCCCTGCACTCATAATTTATATGCTTTTCCATGGCACTTTCCTCTCCCAGTTTTGCTGCTAAATTATGTTTATATATTGCCTGAATTTCCTATACTTTGCTGCGTCCCTCCCTTGACTAGACAAACCGAAAATGCCCTTTAGTCCAGACAATGCAAACAATACACATGTTTTAATGGTAGACAGTTTTTAGACGTGATAATGCAAGTGGAAAATCAGAAAAATATATAGTTGTTGCCATGCCAGTCACCAGCAGCAGACATTGCAGTAGGGAAAACAAAGGATTCCAATGCGAAGAAAGGCTACTATAAATACACTTGAAAAAACTCGATTTATGTAACCATTAACATTAGTCAGCGATCAATTTAAAATATAAAATATTTAAGAAATATTTCACGATAAAAAGTCATTTAATTCGCTAGGCACAATACTTCTGAAGAGTTAAAAATATGTATAAATACATTTGAGCAGTGCAGTTGTAAGGTCCCTGACCAACCCATAACCATATGCAACATAATAACTTTCGACTGCCTGCTCTCCTCATTGGAACGAATAGGATAGGATATGATGCTATATAGAAGAGGGGCACGGAATGATATATGTCTGCAGCTGTCACATAATGTTAACTTGAGGGATCTGTCTCGGCAGTCCTGCATGCATGAAAAACTCATTACGAGCAGCTGCAGCTGCGGTCACCCGAGTTTCCCGTCCAATTTTCCCACCAACACTTCCCGGCCGAGCACTTGATCCTTAAATAAGTTGCGGCAAATTGGCTTGCCGTCGGCCAATTGAATATCCGCATCGATTGGGTTTGGGGCGCCTCCGCCTGCACTTTTAATTGCATAACACATAGTTTCACGCTTCTTGCTTACACTTCACTTCACTGCCGAACAACTTGGCAGGGCGAAAGTTCACTTTAACAAGTGAACAACTTTCAATGGGCAATTAAAAGGGCATACAAACCGGGGACAACAACAGGCGTCGTGGTGAGGGTGATGGGTAATGGGAGAGGAGTATGGCGTGAGGGTAGGGTCTAGAACGTCACCAGCGAGAAGTCACCGGAAATGTTAACAAAATGCATAGCAGCACAGATTCTGCTAAAGTTTTCGGCCCGAAAGGCAATTAAAGTTTTGGCAGAGACACAACAGAAAAACAAGTTGTGCACATAAAAAAATATTTTTGTTTTTAAGGATCAATCTTATAAACTCTAATTTAAAGAAATCAAAAATCGGTCGCAAAAATAGCACAGTAAAAAATGTACTTACATGTAAACATCATAAGGAACTTTCTATTATAGCAACCTTTGCACAAAGAACTTTTTTTGATTCCATAGTTTCATTATAATCGAAAATGATTAAAAACGAAAAGCACAATGTTTAAAAAAGAATAAGAAACAGGAAAAAATGAGCACGATGATTTACATTATTGTATGTTATGTTTAATTAAAATAGTTGCTTATTAAAACGTATTATTATTAGTTCTATGTAAGCAACTTATTTAAAACAAGAGAGAACGCTATAGTCGAGTGCCCCGACTATCAGATACCCGTTACTCAGGTAAAGGGAGTGCGAGGGAGATGGAGATAGAAACTTTGATCACGCATAACTTTTTAACGAATGGTCCGATTTGAAAAATTTCTTCTACATTTCGATAGGTATTGATAAACACAATAAAACTGCATTTTTACTTTTCCGAAATATTTAAATTTTTAAAATCGTATATAAGCGATTGTGGGCGTTAAAGGGGGCGTGGCACCTTTTTGAAACAAACTTGCGCTGCGTAGGAACTCCTAGAATCTGCATGCAAAATGCCAATCTTCTAGCTTTTATAGTTTCCGAGATCTCAGCGTTCATACGGACAGACAGACAGACAGACAGACAGACAGACAGACAGACAGACAGACAGACAGACGGACAGACGGACATGGCTATATCGACTCGGCTAGTGACCCTGATCAAGAATATATATACTTTATAGGGTCGGAAACGCTTCCTTCTAGCTGTTACATACTTTTGCACGAATACAATATACCCTTTTACTCTACGAGTAACGGGTATAATAACGAGGTTCAGATTAGTACACAGTAATATACACATTTACTGTATTGGTATTCTCTTACTTAAGAACTATACTAGTTTTCTTTTCAGCCTTTCCAAATTAAACTTTTTAATATTTTACTAATGAAGAAAAGTAAGTTTTGTTCCTGTGTTAAGGAGAATGGTGACTTCAGTATCCTTGACTTCTGTTCTGCCAGTTGACGCAGCTCCGGCCATAAATGTTAGCCCCAAAATATAGCAAAATCTGGCGGTTGCGGATCTGCAATTAAATTTTATTACATGCCACAAGGCGATTCCAAAAACGGCAGCCTCCGTTATATATTAACCATCACAAAGCATTATGGTTCGAGCTCTTACCAAAAATAAGTTATTAAAATTCGAGCCTTAATTCAACCGGAATATGGCGCCGTCAAAGTCTGCCGCCAATGACGACACCACACACGCATGCACAGAAGGGCGGGGGTGGGGCATATAAATTGCATATTTATGCACTATAAACATTAATTTACTTGCCATTTAGCTAGGCGCGCAGTTAATTGAAAACAACAATATCCGAGGCATTGCAGCAGAAGCAGCAGCAACACCAAATGCCCACTTTCAGCCCCCTGCAGCCCCTCTCTCGCACAATTTAGCCATAATGCAACAGCAGCAGCCAAAGCAAACAACTTTAAATTATGCAAAGAATAGGAAAACGCAGCGTACAAAAATTGCAGCCATTATTAAATTTGCGTGAGCGTCGGGGAGATGGGAAAAAAGCGAAAAAAAAATACGAAATGCAAAGGGGTTTTAAGCAGGGAAGTAATGCCAAATTTAATTGCAATTAATGTGCAGTAAAGCGGAAGTGCCATAGAAGCGGGTCGGCCATTGCTGAACGGGCTGGCACTTCCGGTTGGCGCCATGTTGGAGCACGCTCCTGGCGAATGAAGGGAGGGGGTTAGAGGAAAACCGAGTGGGTTAGCCCGATATTCGTGGTAACCCTTAAAAGCAAGCTAGAATACTTTCCTCGATGTAACCCCAGAGATTACACTAATTGGGTTAACACTCAAAAGTTTGTCATGAGTTTTACAGCAGGTGCACATTTAATCCTTAAACTTAGGTGGATATTTAGAGTTCTGAGTTGACAAGACACATTTGGTGAGCTAGACACATTTAATAATATATTTTTTATAAGAAAACGATTAAAGGAAATAATATGATACAGTGAATTATCTCGCGATCGTTTAGAAACTATAGTTATCATATATGATAACCAATAAGACATAAAATAATATTTAACAAGAAAGGAAAGCTAACTTCGGGCGGAGCCGAAGTTGATATACCCTTGCAGAATACTCTGTAAATTATATTCTCCAAAATTATTCATATGATGCATTCTTAATACTCATAAAAAATCCCAACTTCCAAACTTTAAAAACACCAAAGTACACCGATCCTTATGAAATTTTATAGGTCGGATTGATTGGCCAAAAATAAAACCCATAGAAAATCCCAACTTCCTAACTTAACAAACACCAAAGTTATGGCATTTCCGATCAATCAGTTATATGGCAGCTATAGGATATAGCCGTTCCGACATATATACTGCGTGCAAAGGAAAGAAGGGTGTGTGCAAAGTTTGAATTCGATATCTTTAAAACTGAGAGACTAGTTTGCGTAGAAACAGACAGACGGACAGACGGACAGACAGACGGACAGACGGACAGACGGACATGGCTATATCAACTCAGGAGGTGATCCTGATCAAGAATATATATACTTTATAGGGTCGGAGATGTCTCCTTCACTGCGTTGCACACTTTTGACCAAAATTATAATACCCCCTGCAAGGGTATAAAAACATATTTTTAACGGCTTGTCGTATTCAAATTTTATTCATAAAAAAATAATATGAATAAGCCCATAAGTTAAGTCTTAATTTAAGAAAATGGTGTTACAAAAATAAGAGCGCAATATGAATTTTGGTCTTAGTATCTATGTATCTAGCATGTAGATGCATCCATTATCAAGGATGTATAACATATCCTTCAACCTGGTGCAAGAATATAATATAATTTTTACTCTTCTACACCAGCAGTTTTTTGTTTTATTTTTCGGTTATTCTATAATTGGTGGGCATGCTAAAATATAAAAACTGTTAATTGATTATTTAAAAATAAGTCCTAGCTATTCGCGCCAGGGTAATAAAATAAATAAATTAAATATTAAAAAAATATAATGTAAAACTGTTTAGGTTTTACTGAAATAAAAACAAAATGATACCTTAACAAGAGCTGTGCTGCAGCTTCACAAGGACGAAAATTAGATATTTTTGATCAACGTAGGAGAAGCCAATATACCCGAAATCCTGGATTATCCCAATGGGCCTGGCGGAAACGGATGCTCGGAGTAAGAAATCAAGTTTAAATTGTCCCTCTGCCGTTTTGCAACATCGTTCTGACCGCGTGACACCCAAATGCAGAGGAAAAATGGGAGTGCATGTTACATGGTTGCTTTTACCTGGCGCCGTCGCGAAATTCAATTACTCGTGCACCATAAACCGATTAACTTATATAAATATTTATATCGCTGAAATGCAGTCGGTCGCCAATGGCTTTATGGGTCGCAGCACCCCCGTTCGATGGACGGTGGCGGTGGGCGGGGGGCGTGGCCTATCTGTGGGTGTGTCCCTGCATATGCAAACAGTTTTCCAGCGACTCGATGGGGTCGTCGGTCATTCAGAGAAATGGAGCTGCGGCGGCAATAATTTCATTTGCATTTGCATTTGTTGCCGTTTATGGTCCACTCAAGTGATGTCAGTTTCCACTTTCCCACTTTCACCCGCCCTGCGGTTCACTTTCCAAGTGTTTAATGATAACACGCTAGGTGTCATTTACAGGCAAGTGCACTTGGGGCCAGGACATAACTGAACAGAGCAGAAACAGAATCAGAAACAGAAACAGCAGCAGACAGAGTCCGGAAGGCATATCATTACAATGTGTGGGCCGTTCCAGTTGCAGTTCGGTTCAGACGTACATCAGGAGAAAATGCCTTGCAAAGTCGCAATACATTTCAAAATATTTCACAATTTATAGACATTTCCAGTTCTAAATTTCCTGAGGAATCCTTTGTCACAAAGCACCTGGTATATAGTTCAGCGATTTAAAACAGTGGAGGATTCAGGTAGAGGCTGTGGAGGTCACAACGAAAATCGTGAAGTAGGATAACTTTCCAAAGATTCAAGTTTTTCGCTGTGCAGTTGAAAGGTTGTAGGTTGTAGGTGGCAAGTGGCAACTACTTGTCTCCATAAATAGTTGCTAAACAGCAATGGGCCCGTGTAAGTGGCTGATGAGAGTGGGCCCCCGATGGCTGCACTCACAGCCTCAGGCGATTTGAGGGGCCAGGACGAGGGACAGTGTCAGTCAAGGGTTAATCTCGAGTTAAGTGATGCACTCGAGCTGCACTGGTGTCTGATTAATTGAGTCACGCAGGCCGACGCAGCTCAAGGCAAACTTTGATTGCCCCGGGCTTGGGTTTATTTGGGGTCGAGTTATGAGTTCCACGGCATGTGGTGTGTTATGTGGTGTAAATTAATCGCATGACTTAAGCAGACACTCAAGCATTCCCTGCATGTCTAATGGGTATTTGGTTAACATCAATGATGCATAAGCCTGTTTAACAGTTATGACGGCATAGACCACTAATCTGTCCATTGCTGTTTGACTGAGACCAGTATTCAGATGGTTAGATTAATTGACTTGTATATGGTTTAACTGTGGTAAGAGATACTTACTTATGCACAGTTTCAATGTATATATATGAAACTGCTTACTTAAAATAATATTCAACGCACAGGCAAATGCAGCTACACAACACGATTCAAATTTGTGTTCATATTTAACAAAATAATACAAAAGCTTATAACAGGTTTCAGCATTTTGTGAGTGATACAATCTTCGAGTCTCAGTAGCTTTAAAAGTTATGGTTGCAATGCTTATGAATCTTAACAAATAAATCACAAACATGAAGTGTGGAAAGGGAACTCCTACATTTCAACACGCTTAAATATCCTAATGCAACATTTTCGAATTTCAATTACTCTCTCGTCATACAAACATTCACCGATAAATTATTCAGCACAATTCAGGATGTGTTGGTTAACCCAACCGAATTTGAGAACCTCATGAAAAATTCAATTCATCAGCTTTGTATATTTAAATTTCCTCAACATGCTCAAATTGTGAAGGCAGTTCAGTCATCACCCGACACATTTGGTGAATTTTGAACCGTTCGTCACCTTGAATGCTGTGGCCCGAACTCCACACTCTAAATTTTCCCTACAGACCCCAACTGCGTCCGTGCTTCACCTGCAGATTTCGCAGCAGTCGCTGCAGCTGCTCCCTTGCCTCGTAGAGTCGTCTTTGTCTGACCAGCTGCTGAGTCACCAGGCGGCGCTGCAGGTGCACCAGTTGCTGCCGGATCCACACATGATCCGCCTGCAGACGCCGCATCTTCGCCCGCAAATCCTCATCCTGACCCACCTTCTTCGATACGACGCCTTCGTCCCCGGGCTCATCCACACCAAAATCCAGTTCCATATCTATGATGGCAACGGCTTTTGAGTGCGCATCCATTGTGCAACGGCTCCGACTTATGGTCCTACATTGAAAAAAATACAAAGTAAACTAGGTCATTTTTGGTTTCCATATAAAGGCGTATAAAGTTTAACAATATGATCTGGTGGTTTTTAAAAAAGAGGTTCATATACAGCAGTCAGTTGAAAAATGGGGCCCACATGGAGCTAATTCAATTTTTAGAGTATGAAACAATATCGAAATAAAAGGAAAAATGTCAAGTTAGGACAGACCAAGGCAAACAATAAGCAAACAAAATAAAAAGTTACATTTGAGATAGGAAAATACGATTATCCTCTCCAACATGTTCTAAATTATTAAGACCAAATATAACCAATTATTCTTAACAAAAATATTCTTTACAATTTATAAGAAATTAGGAACTCGTTGCACTTCCTGAAAATAAACATTTCTGGTACTCATTAAATTTGCCTGCCATGGATGCTATCATTGTACCCATTTTTTACAATGTGCAAGTCTGGTGGGGACAGAATCGGAAACTTGAAATAATTTATGCGTGCCAACTGGGTGGCAAACTTCCATCTAATCGCTTAATTCCGTGTTGCAAAAACTTTGGGCCCAGTTCTCGGCATTACACTCTGGAAACGTATATGCAGAAGATTTGCCCAGCGAGTGAGTGCAACTTTTTCTAGTTGATTGACTAAAAATTGAACATTCTCTCCGTATTTGGTTAAGACGTTTTATATTTTTTTCCAGCTAATGCCCTCGATTGGTTGTGAGCAATACTCAGTGATGCGTTGGTAAAATTTGCAAATCGTTTGGGCTAGTGGAAATGCGGCGAACGGGGTGTTCCAGCTACTTGAGGTGGCACAGACCGAAATTGCTTTTCCGCTCTGGGTCAGCCGAGCGGAAAAATGTCTGCCCTGCTGACGCTGCCAGCGAAGTTCGATTTCGCACTATCGATTGATTTGGTATTCATTGGGTTGCGCTCGCTTGCCACAACTTTAAACGCTACATGTCGCCGCAACTTAGTGCCTCTGTTTCCTTTGTTCAAATTGCTCTGCACCCAGTCGACCCAGTTGCATTTCTGGTTCTTTTTCGGAACAAACGCAGCTCTGTTCGAAATGCGAATTGGAAGCTCACTGCTCACCGGAAAAATTTACGGTTTTCTAGAGTCCAGATTAAAAGAAAGCGAAGGCTACTGATAGTCCGAAAATTTAGTATTCATGCAGAATTTTATGGTTGGTTTAATTCTTTACTCGAATGTATTAAGCAAAAAATTATTTAAAATTCAATGAAATTAAATTATAACCTCTGTTTTAAGTTTCAAAACTTTCCGATTATTTTAACGTATTTAATACCTAAAATTAAAGGGCTATTAATATCAATCAATTCGCGCAGTGTGTCCCGCATGGCAAAGCAATTTGCTACAACTCCGCCATGACTGTGATGCTAATGATCGAGCCAACTCATCTGGAGACAAGGCCAAAGGCGTTTGTCAAAAGAATGTCAACTGGGCGGGCTGGCTGGTGAAAATTGGAGCAGTTTTCACTTTCAGTTTTATTCGGCTCACCAGACTGCAAAGCAGGCCAACAGAGTCGACATATAATGCTCGGAAAACGCCTCAGTAGCGGTGTTGTGGCTGCCAGCCGTGCGTATGCGTAATATTCGAGAAATGTCTCGCATTTCCTTCCAACCGAAATGTTCGACAAGCTGTCTATTTGCTAGGGTGTTTGCGTGCGGATTTGAATGCTTGTTTTCTATTTGTGGTACAGCACTTGGGGCTACTTGAGGATATTACGCAAACGACATGTTGCCAAGACGAAAGATAAAACAGAATTTTTTTATGTCCGCCTGGCTTAGTGGGGATTGCCCTGATGATGATTGCAGAAAACAAAGTTTTTCGCAGTGCTTACCTCTAGACTTTGAGTTTTGAGCTGGAAAAATGTGGAGTCTCCGATCAAAATAAAACGAAAAATAAAGGGAGACTGTAGAAGCAATGCCTACTGCGCAGGCTGACAGGCTAATTAAAAATCTAAGTGTAAGCCACTATCCCTCTCCATTTCCATTTCCATATCCATCTCTATCTCTGGCTGTCTCTGAGCCGCTGTTGATATTCTGTTTGCCGGCATTGGCAACTTAATTATTTCAGCGGCACGTCGGCAGCGACTGGCGCTTAAGCCAAGTCTCCCGACAGCTGCAAAAGCGTAAAAGAGGCGAAGAAAAAGTAGAAATAGAAAACGAATATAAACAACGCTTGCAGCATGCAACGTCAGTGAAGAAAAAAACAACAGCTGCTGTTGAGAATCTGTGCTGAAAGATAAAGTTGCCTGGCAAAAGGATTTAACTGCACAACTGGCGAAAGACACAGTTCGAGAAAAAATAAGCGACGACTCTATATCTGTGTGTGTGTGACCCCATTAGCACCAGCCGACTTCTGCCACGCCCAGTTACCCTCCACCGCCTCACATAGTATTACACCCCACCGAAAGTCGAAAAAAATCCACTTGCGGCTTTATTCATGGACTTGATTCATTAGTAGACATTCACATGCGAGCATTCCCAATTACTTGCAGCGAAGATTGAAATATCTCCTTTTTCGAGTTTTAAATATAAATATTTGTTCAATTATGGTTTGGTTAATTATTTAGTTAAGAAAAATTTGTTTTTTTCGCAGTAATCACTTTTTATTTATAATAATTTTGGATGAACATAAAACATAGAACTCTATAAGTACCATCTGACAACAACATTTAATTTTGATTTTTATTAATTTGTATTATTTATTATTGTTATTCTTGCATAATTCAGAGTAACGATTCTTTAAAACTCGTATATACAATTGTAAACTTAATTAAATATTTTTGATTTTGTTAGGACTAAAATAATATGCTAAAAGATTTATAATAATCATGGCAGACAAAGATCGTGGGTCGTCACAGAGTCGTTAAAACTTCAGACCAAATTATAAATGATAATCAATCGAAATGTTAATAATAGCTTAAAAAATTCAACTAAGGCAAAAGGTAAATCTTAAGCTAAGATACCCTGTCAATTACCAACTACCTGTTCTCAGAAACTGCGGTAAATTTTATTTCCGGAACACATCTGTTTGTATTTCTCGAGTATTTCATTTTCCTGAAGTTATATCTGCGCTGACTCTTTTTCAATGACTTTGGCAGCTTTGACAGGGCAAAACTAATTAATTTTCGGCAGCTAACTCAAAACGGCAAGAGGCGCAATAAAAAAACGGCAAAAAAGGCAACAGAATCGGCACAATTAACGCCTTCAACTTTAATTGCGTTTTAATGTGCATCAGGCCACAGAGCGCAGCCTGTTTGGATGGTTTCTCGGTGGGTGGTTGGGTGGTTTGGTGGGTGGCTAAGTGCACGGCTCGAATCCGAACGGGTGGGGTGGTTCAACGTGCTCTGTCAACCGCAGGCGGTGGCTCAAAAGCGTAACAAGCATTTTGCCGCGCCTCAGCAACATGGCAGTCGTCCTGCACTCACACGCCCAGGCTCACAAAGGAGCGGAGACAAACGCACACGTGAATTCGTCCTGTGACTATGGACTATGTACTATGGGACTATGGTACTATGGCACTGTGCCACTATAGACCATGGGATGCTCTTGTGAGTGTGGTCGTGCCTGTGCCTGAGTGCCTGCCTCAAAAGCGGCTTAACAGACACACACGGACCCACATGTACCTACAACGCAGCATGCACTCGAAGAAATGAATGGCCTTTAAGATAAATAAATATTTAATCGTATGTGATTGCTCTTATTATCTTTGTACTATACGCCAGCGTGTTATGATATCTTTGAGGTTTTTTGTTGAAATCAGCTTAAATTTAATCCTTGCATAGAACCTACAGTAGTCTATTCTATATGTATTCGACACCAATAACCAAAGGGTTTATGGAGTGTATAAGCATATTTTGACTTGCAAATTGGCAATCAAAGGGTAATAAATTAGCAAATAAATCTTGAAGCTACTATTTGCAAGTAAACTCTATTTAATGTTGAGTACATTATATCTTTTGTTTGCATCAATATGTAGTACTTTATTTGTGTATTTAATGCGGCATATCTTGTTTTTTTTAAGGCCTTGCCAAAAGCGATGGAAGAATTTATATTTTTCTTAAGTGCAGTGGTGGAATACAAGTCCGGACATGGGAGCGGTCGCGGATCCAAAACCATGCGCCTCCGTCTGGGCCAACTATTTACATGGCACCCATTATGTCCGGACTTGTAGCTGCGTCTTTTGTGTTGTCGCCGGCTCCATTTCCCTTTTCCTATCGCTCGTCCTAAGTGACGTGATTTAAATTTTTATGCCCTTTGAAATTTTCGTCGCCGCTTATCGCTGCGTGGATGTGGCCATCTCAGGCCCCGCCTGGTCCTCCTTTGCCTTCTCCTCTGCGGATCTGCTTCCGGCGCACACGGGACAAATCACGTAATCTGGCCTTAGTGGGTCAAGCAGCAGAAGCGGCAGTAAACTGTGAACCGTAGCCGTACTGTAGCAGCCCGCACGCAGAGATACAAAGGTACTTGGACACGGGGGACAAGTACAAGTAAATAGACATAAAGATACACGACATGAAAGCCACTGTCAACGTGGAGTCAGTTCCTGGTAATGTCAAGTGTGGTACGACTTGCGGACTAGCACAATTCCCGAGCACATCAAATAACGGAAGGGTGCTCTCATGTCGAGAGCCCCGACCTAAAAATACACTCTAATATAAATCGGCTTTGAAAAGCGTAAAACAGCATCAAGCTTTTCTGTGCACAAAAAACTGGGACATTTGTATTTGAAAGCAATATCAAGTAATGTAATACAAAATTTCTTTTGAAATTTATTTTCGTGCAACGTTTTCCAAAACAGTTAAAAGGCGGAAAAGAATGTTGTTACTTCAAAAGCTAACCTTATGTTTTTGCGGAGCTTAAATTTGAACATTCGTTTTGATTAAAATCTTTTGTTTAGGACCTATTGAATGAAGATCATGGGACCAAATTCTCTTCAAAGTGAACTCCCGTTTTTCATATACTAAATTAAATAGCTTACTTCCATGACAACAAATAGTGCAATACATTCCTTTATTTCCCATTATACAGATTGTCTCAATAATAGAAATGCGTCCTTCATAGGTACGGTTTGCTGAATAGGAACTGATTTTTCAGTTGATATAATTCCCCGTGCTTGTCATTCTTTCACCTTGTTATGTTTCTGCAAAAAGCTGGTTACAAAAGCCAGTTAGTGACTCTACTGTGCGGTTGTGACAGGTGATGTTATTAGTTTTGGCTTTTCATAGACTTTGAAGTGCATAGTTGTGGTTTCCTTTGACAAAGCAAAAAAACGCCAATTACCCGCATAAATAACATGTAATTTATTGTCAATTAGGATCAAAATAGCTTTTAATGAAAATGAAAAATTGTAAGAAAGCTTAGCGTAAAGTGTTTTTCTGGTGTGCCATTATTGGCTGAATAATCGCAGGGGTAAATATTGTACCACAAATACTATACAACCAGGGGTATCATTAAAATATATTTACACCAAATTTCAACCCAAAATCACATTTCGATTTTAAATCAACCAACCATTAGGCTTTTCTATAACTAAGCATATTACTTCCGAAACGAATAAAATATTTTAGGATGTTTTCATCAACAAACGTGTTATATTTTAATTTAAATGCTATTTATCATTATTTTCCATGCGGGTATAATTTTTGGTTCAATTTTCAGTGCCAGCAAGATTTAATAAAATTGATGCATACCTACCTGCATAAGGACATATAGCTCATATGCCTCGTTACTACTTGCCACGGTCAAGGGCTGGCCCTCACGGCATACATTAAATGTAAATCGAGTTCCCGTTAAATGATTAATCCCTTCGGTTTCCGGAAGACAAACATCATTATCGTCGTTAAGTAACGGCTGTCACGTCCGCTTGGGGCCTCGAACAGACCAACAAACCAGGTAAGAGCAAACAGCGACGAGCCGCTTGTTCTCGAGGGCCACTGAGTGGGGCCAGACAGGTGCAAAGTGCAAAGGACGACTGATTGAACTCCGAGGACAACGCCTCTTCACTCGCCAATCGCCCATCGCCAAGGACGGCGAGCGCCTTCAATTTGAAGTGTTTAAAATGGTTCGCCATCATCAGCGGCTGTCAATAAGCGCATTAAAACATTTTGCAGTTCGCATGCTCGTTGACGGCTGATGGCGACGACACGCGGCATTCAGGGAGCTGTGGAAAGCGGAAAACTGGGAGACTGCAGGCGCAGAGCTGCTGCACTAACGAGTCCCATTGATTTTCCCCCGCCGGAAAAGCGGTGGCACGCAAAAGAAAGCGAGGAGCAGAGATGGGGAGATGTGCGCACGATGCGTATGAGTAATGGGAAAATTCTTAATGGGCGAAGAAAATTGGTTGGGCATAAACAATGAGATTCCTGCGACCGGAGAGAATGATAATGAGTTCGCTGAGTACGGACTACCGGAAAGGGGAAGGAATGATACCAACGTGGCAGTAGGTGAGCCATGCACACTAAATATTCTATTACAAAATTTCAAATTTTTATATTTTATCCAATACGCAACGCATACGAAATTATTTGAACATTTTTTAAGAACCTTATTAAATATTTCAGCATGTTAAAGTCGAGGAAAGAATATTTATTTAAATATCAATTTTAAAAATAATAAAATACTTTAAATTCGTGTTCATTTAAATGTCATTCTTTTATATAAATTGTCTTTTAATACTTATACCTTAGAACACTAACCTAATATTATAAACTATTTCTTCCCGACATTGTATTATTATAATTGTAATGTTTGCAACCTTGAATATCGAGGATGAATAACATTTAATATATTTAATAACACTTTCAATACGATTTTAATTAACCACCAAGCCGCCCCGCAGATTTTTATATCCTCTTTTGTCAGTTGCTTGCTGGCGTCTCGCCGGAGTCTCATTAATGCAATACTTTCATTA